GTGATGCATCGCACTGTAATAACCGCGAAGATCCTCTGCCCTCCGGGTCTCTCCTCTGCTTCGTGGTGTGGCCAAGTTGCTCTTGCGCTTCATTTGGCTGGGTCACCTCTCCTCGCTCCTCCGTCCTCTGGCCTCGAGTATTTCTCTGTCGTCGCAATCCTGGCATTTTGCTGGCTTTTTCTAATTTAGTTACTACTCAGTAATACTTTATTGATTATCTGCGCGCGTTACTTGCGCTATTTCAGGTGCCATTCCGGCTGATTTAAACAGCGACTGCACCGTAAGGGTACAAACAGGTGTTGCAGAAATGCGACACCTATATCACCGTGCATGAAGACCCAACGCGTCGTTCTAATAACATTTCATTCTCAGACTGGTGTAATTCCAGACATTTGGCCCGGATATTGTAAAAATTTAAGATTGTCATCTTCACATATTAAGTTCAACACGTTCAACAGATATTTCCATGAACAAATGACAAGTAATTATTCCTGCGTGACAACATCCTCCAGCGATCTAGTTCATTCCACACAGCCTGTTGTACATTACCCGGCATCCCACACATCATTCTAAAGCAAGCGAGATTAAAAAGCACCTGTGAAATATGTATATATTTCTTTCAGGCGTTACCATTGTATGCTTTAACGATAAGATTGATGGTTCAACAAACAATATGGAAAAACCACGGCTACACTGTCATTCTGTGTTGTTATAAAAATTGTAGATGAATATATTTAATTTACATGTTTTAAACAGAAATAGATACACGGTCAAAATCATAATGTAATACAAGTAATATATACTTGAGAATAAAGAAGTATCGCATAAAATATTGTTATATCGGCAGTATGTTGGAATTCATTATATGCACCTTGTGTCATCGTATGTAGTTAAAATGAAACGTTTTTCCTCATAAATAACCTAACCCATTATATCATTAAACGCTGGAATATATTATAAAGCCTGTTATTAGACAATGTTAATGTTATCAATATTAAGCGTGTAACTTTAGAAAAGACTTATGGTCGTAAATGAATGGTAGACAAAGAAACACACAGATTGCCAGTACGCCTAGTATGTTATAGTGACAGAGCGGCGCTGGCAACGCGTTTGCCTAATATCTGCTTAAAACAATACTGATTAATGTTACTTAAATATTATTTGTCTATATTTATATAAGCTTTATTTTAATTAACTATATTATAATACAAGTGTATGATAACTATATCTATGAACGGTAGTTTATTGCAGTGCTTTCTGTCACACGATGAGTAATATGTTGTGCCTCTTGAAGCAATAAGTTCGGCAAGAATCCGCACTTTAGGCCAGTTGGTTGAATGCGTCATTTCCAAGGCTTCGTCACACAGTTCACGAACATGTGAAATATGTTTCCATTGTGATATATCGCTTGAATAAGGTTGACTCCGGTCTTTTCTTTAGTATCAGATACTTAATTAATTCTGCCCTGCTGAAGCGTTTATTAAATATACTGTCAAAGCATGATTTAAAAAAATCATAAACACAGATGTTGAAGTCGCATTGTTATATCATTCATATATGTAGGCTAAAACATTACATATAATCAGGAGCGTGCGGGTATAATGACAACTAACGCTCATTTATCATATAACTTATTGTCATTATACGCGTTCCTGATAGAATTATGATTAAATATTTAAATCTGATATAGCATACCAGTTTTAAAAAGATATACCATCAATGAACTAGAACGGGCATCGTACTATGCGGTCACCAACTTCGCAAGTATAATATATATAGGCAGATTCACATATATATATCCTACATATATCCCGATAACATTAATGTATTCTATATATAGTATTATTCCTAGTTATAAATTACATGTACTATTAGTCTGTGACCTCACATGTGGCACCTGCGGACTGGACGCTGCTGCCTGCTCTCGTAGCAGGTTTGAACTACGAACTCATAAATGATGACGTATTACCCACTCATCAACTAGCCCGACTGTTTGGCTTGAGATACATGCGTGATGAAATGAATAGGAAATATTCATACCGTTTGTAGATACGCATCGGGATAATAACAATTTAACATGGTAAGAGTAAACCTTGCGCTGTTTAATCGTCTGAGTGTTTTATTTAATTTCCTCGTTCAAAGCTTTAATCTAGTACTAGTAGCTAGTAGCAGTAGTTATAACAGTATTCAGTAACACGTGTAGGCACCTACGCTCAATCACTGAATCAAGGCGCCTCAGGGATAGAGAAGATGTCCAGTCCTATCTTAATCAACTACATCATCCCTATCCAATCACCGTACTGGACATCATCTCTATCCTTGAACCAATCAGCGCTAACGCTCGCATTACATTAGCGGATTAGAGTGTTCCCAACTTGATATCATTAAAATTAATGATTCATGTCGCCTAATCATAATGATTGATACTCTAACCTTACCCCTCCCAATGACATTAAGCCAAAACTAATACTATGACCATTGACCATCTATATATAAATTTATTAATATTAATATGTTATTATGACCAGTTATGACATTAAAGTTGGGAACACTCCTACTGGAGTATCACCCTGACTGAGCTCCTGGCTTGGTTTTCAAGGATAGAGAGGGCATGGCCAGATTGAGATATATGTCATTTTGTCAATATGGGGTCGCCCCTTTAAATGGAGAAGGGGTGTTGTTGAGGGTGTTGTTTGTTCATTTGTGCTGAGAATACATTGAATTATGTTAGTTCAGCAGGAAGTGTGAAAACCTGCGGTTTAAAGCGCACTACTTGCCCGTTCCGACTGTTTTCTCACCATGGCTACGCGAGACGAATTATCCGCATGCATGTTCCTCTGCTATGGGCCCTGCAATGGGTTTAACAATCTGGTATTAGCGCGGCGGCTTGGAACTTAAGTACTTGTGGCCAGTCAATTTTATCTTTGTCGGGCCATCTCCCGCTTAGTTTTGGTCATTGGTGTGTGGGATCTGACACTGA